CACTTTAAAGGCTGGTCCGTGAAAATATTGTCTGACATATAACCGGTCCGTGGCGCAAAAAAGGTTGGGGACCGCTGCATTAAAGGATGCATTTTTTTTTTTACATTGGCCCCTTGATTTTATTATTATATTATTACATCATGTTCTACTCACCCATATTAGTTTTGTGTCATTTGGAGCTATTCTGAAAATCGTTTAGGTTATATCCAGTTATGGTACCCCAGCATTCAACATGTAGGCGAATCACTGTCCCCCAGACAGCCGCGGTTTTATTTTTTATATTTATATTTTTCTAAAACAAAGTGGAGTGTGTATGACGTCATCTGCGCATGCTGGCTACCATTCATTCATCCTGTCTGCTGAACTGCTGCTAGTTTTACTCACATGCCTGGAAGATGTCTAGTGCTACTACCACAGATGATGTCGCTCTCGAAATGGAATTGAACGATCCAGATTAGCTAGCCGAATTAATAGAATGGGTAGAATGTAACCGCCTGTGGCCCGGGCTGCCTGTCACAACTCCAGTGCGGCACTCAGATGACGTCATACACGAGCTGCTTTTTTATAAAACATATAAATATAAAAAACTTAACCATGGATGTCTGGGGGACAGTGATTCGCCTACATGTTATGAATGCTGGCGTACCATAAAGAATAAATTATGAACAGTTTAGTTTGTACCTTCAAGTCGTTGCTCATAGGAAGACGTTACTTGGATATAACCTAACGGAATATCTTTAGAACAGCTCCAAATGACACAAAACTAATATGGGTAAGTAGAACATGAGGTAATAACGTAAAATCAAGGGGCCAATGTAAAAAAAAACAGTGTTCCTATTTAAAGGTATAGTCTTGGAAAAGGCCTGAAGCTCCCCATCACAAGCGACACTTCATACTTTTAAAGGCTTGGCATTAACTTACTTCGACTGAATTCATAATTGCTGCCTTTTTGTTCCCATTGTCAAGCTATTCAGAATGAATGATTTAAGTATGATATTTTTCAAATGTATTTGTGTTTAGGATCATTGTCCTTTTGAAATCTATTTAAAGCTTCAGCTGTTAAACAGATTAAACCAAAAGGGAGGCTCAAACCATAACCTTGACAGCTGATATGAGGTGTTTGTGCTATGTTGGGTTTTCTGAAAAAACAACCACAGACATAAGTTTCTTCTACGCTTTGCAAGGAGGGACATGAATTCAGAAGCCTGGTTGTTTGTTCATTTTATTTATGTGCTTATAATTAGCTAAATATCAGCTTGCTTTTGTTACTTTCCCTTCCCTAAAACCAATAATAAGCATCAAGGGAACTTTACCACTTAGTAAAGATCATTGTTTAAAACATAATGGTGTGTAATATGTGACATGTTATAAACTTAAGGTTAGATTTAAATCATACATTCATGAAACTGTTGAACAACCTGATAGATTTTTTGATGATGTTCTGATAAGAAAATCTAGAATTCAGAGTGACTGAATTTCTTAAAGCTTAAAGCTGTATACATATTTTCAATAAAGCAATTTTTTGTTATAAGTTTTCATGGTTTGTCCTATAATGGGTTTGTTCTGCTATGCTTTTGTTGAGTCCATTTAACCCACCTTAACTGCTGTTGGTGGTCAGTGTCAGGGGTCTCCCCTCTGTTTAAGTTTATTTTTAGTTTTCTTTGTAATTCTGTGTCTTTTATAGTTGTTTTCTGGTAGTTTTGTGGTTTTGAGTTGCTCTCTGTTGCACCCCTATGTTTGTTTCTTTTCCTCTTGGCTTCCTTCTGATTAGTTCTATTCACACCTGCTCCATATTAGCTGATTAGCCCATCCATTGTTCTGTTCCCCATATATACACCACCTCTGCGGTTCCTCATTGCTGGTTTCTTGTTGTTTTGTTGCTTTGTCGTCTCTTTGCGCCCCATGTGCGTTTTCCCTGAGGTTTTCTGATTTTTGGTTTTCAGTATTTTTACTCCTGGTTGCCTCTGGAGCTTTAATTTAATCAGCAAAACTCATCTCTGCCTCCTCATCCCTGTATTTAGGTCCTTAACCAACCTCCACCAAACCTTGACAGTCAGAGGTCCATTGTTGTGGCAGCCTCCGTTTTATCAGTCCAACTAAATGAAGCTAACCCATTACATAGATTACAGGCATGTCTAAAGACTTAAAAACCTGAATGATACTTAACTTTTCTGCTCCTGAATCCAGGCAATGCAGAGGTTATAGTCTTTGGACCAGAGTCTTTGAAAAATAAGCTGATTAGTCAGTCACTTCATTTGGATGGGATTAAACTGATTTCAGATAAAGTAAAAAATCTTGGTGTTATTTTCGATCAGGGCCTGTCATTTAAATCCCATATCAAAGAGGTTTCTAGAATTTCTTTCTCTCATCTGCAGAATATTGCAAAAATTAGAAATATCCTGTCCAGTGGTGATGCTGAGAAACTAGTCCATGCATTTGTTACATCAAGGCTGAACTATCGTAATTCTTTACTATCAGGAAGTCCACAAACTGTAGTTAAAAGCCATCAGCTGATCCAAAATGCTGCAGCCAGAGTTCTAATGAAAATGAAAAAGAGAGATCATATCTCTCCTATCCTGGCTTCTCTTCATTGGCTTCCTGTTAAATCCAGAATAGAATTTTAAATCCTCCTTCTCACATATAAAGCCTTAAATGGCCAAGCTCCATCTGATATCAGAGATCTGATTGTTCCTTATGTTCCTAACAGAGCACTTCGCTCTCAATCTGCAGGTTTACTAGTGGTTCCTAGAATTTCTAAAAGTAGAATGGGAGGCAGATCTTTGGAACCGACTACCAGTTTTTGTCCGTGAGGCAGACACTCTGTCTACTTTTAAGGCTAGGCTTAAAACTTTCCTTTTTAATAAAGGAGGGACTAATTCTACTATTATATATCTCTATAGTTATGCTGCTATAGGCTTGGACTTCAAGAGGACATAGGGACCCCATATTTCATCATTCTGCTTCATTCTATCTCTATTCTCCCACTCTGCAAAATCTGTTAGTTCAATCTCTAACGTTCTGCTCTCTCTGCTCTTCCTCAGAGTAGCTTTGCCTCGTCTGTTCCTGTTTGGCTGTGACACCATCCTGGAGAGAAACAACAACTGTGCTGCTGCCATCAACACCTTTGTTTATAGATGTTGGAGATCAGCCTGTTTTTCAGTGTAGTCCTGTTTCTCTGTCAATGCAATCAACTGGTTTTCCTTAGATAGAAAAATTTGAATCGAATTGACTGTATGATCTGGTGAACTGTAAAGTGCCTTGAGATGACAAGTGTTGTGAATTGGGGCTATAGAAATAAACTGAATCACCATCGATAGTGTGGGAATGTATGAAGAACTGAATATAGTGTAAACCAGTTTGAGTTTTGTCTTGAAAAAGCTCTGTATAAGTAGAGAGTTGTGCTAGTTTTTACAAGTTTCCATTTTGGCTCCATCTTTATTATTTTTCTCTTAAAGTTTGTGGTGAGACTTCATTTGTTTGTTGTTGTTTGTTTTTTTTGGTTTTCCTACATGAGTTAAGATTTAATTTATTTTAGAACCAGTTAACGGCCATATCAGATTTGCTGTAAAACAGGTCTTTGTACATTATTATTTATAAAGCTGTCTTAAAGAACAGAGAAGTAAAGTTTCTGCCTTGGTCAGTTCTTGGACAGTCTGAAAGGATGAGGATTTTTTCTTGCATACCTTTTGTTAGATGTATTTTGCTTTTGTTTTTTTTACTTTACCCTCAAGGTGTGTCTTTAAACAGAAAACTGAAGCTAGATGGAAATGTAATGCTGTTGATAACATAGAAAGTTTAATGGGCTAAACTTTCCAACAACAATTTCTTGGCTGCTGTGTATAATCCATAAAATCCTAAGAGGAGTTTTCACTGGGAATGCATTCTGCGAAAGAAAAAACATTAAAAAATGACTTATAATCTTGCTTTTGCTTCTAGAGGCATATATCTTGCAGCTGTATCTGCAGTAAAATGTTGCCTAAAAATGCTACCTATTTTTTAATCAGTTAAAGAAATTAAATATAAATGCATTTCTTTTGAAAGATTCATTATTTTTGGTTAATCGTATAAAATCCCAATAAAAATCCAAATGAAATACAGTTTTTTGCAGTTGTAGTGTAACAACATCTGAAAAAGTACTTTCCAATTTTGTTTGTGAACTGTCTCTTCCAACAGTGATTTCCAGAAAGCCTTTGTACATTTGTGGTTTTGCCCTCCCACTCATCCTTGGGACCAGGACTCGATCATGTCATCATTTTAATGGCTGTACATCTTCTCAGCTCCCCATTCTTCACCTTACACCTCGCCAAGCTTGAGCCAAGAGACAGATGGGTAGACATGGGGACAGACAGGCCAGGCGCCCTGAGCCAGCCAGTCAGCTAACTAACCAGTCAGTCAGTCCTGGAAACAAGGCCTTGATACTGGAGACAACTGTATCCATTACACACTTGCACCCTTCCTTGATCCTGCATCATGGCACCAGCTACCAGGGGATCTTTAACACTCCCTTAGACTCGCACATGTGTGCTACATCCTCCAAACATGCAAGGAAAGGCAGAAGAATTGATGGGGACACATTTAACCCTCATCACTCTGAGAGCCACTCAGCAAAACACTCGGTATGAAGCACCACTATCAGTGGATAAACTGAAGCATATGTTTGCTTTTTGTGTTTAATCAATCATCACTTGCATCCGCTGGACATTGGGAGATCATTTTTGAGATAAGGACTGCATGTTCAAAGCTCCCCTTATTCTGTGGCTATAAGCCATAAGGGGGGGAGGGTTGCGATGAAAATAAAAGCCCAAAAATGTCATTTAAATTGTCAATTAAAATGATTTTGACTGTTGAATATCAATAAAGCAGAAATTTATAAGTATAAAAGCTATAAAACTACATTTATGAGCTACTTTAGATAATGTCCGTCATGGTTTTATTTAAAGCTCGGACCCACATGCAGAGAAACCAATTCAGAGAGACCAGGGGAAAAGGTTTAACAGGTTTTATTGAAGAGATAAAGCACGGTGCAGTGTTGCTCTGAACGCTGCTCAGCCGGAACTGGAAGGTGAGGAGAAGACACAGCAATAGTTCAGGCTCAGTGGGAAATTTCATTCGTGGATTTGGAGAAGATCCGGTTGTTGACTCACGTTTCCAGAGAAGTTGTAGAATCTTTGACTCCAATCTGTGTGCTGTATTCCAGTGTTAGTCTGATTCGGTGGAGGGCGGAACAGGGTTTACCCAAAACACGGTCGGTTGTAGGTGAAACTGACTGCCACTCAGATTTCCTGCGGTACTTGAACGGGTCGTTGTGGAGATGATTCCCTTGCTCAGTGTGTAAACTCAACGTCCTCTCTGGGAAACTGGATCCAAACCTCCAGTTTGAATTCCCAGCTCAGTTTGAGGCCCAGTTGATCCCTCCAGGGAGTGAAGGTCCGAAAGGTCCAGTTTTTAGGATAACTTCCTGCCGAGAGGCAAAGACAAAAAACAAAGTTTAAACTCAGGTTGACAACAACTGGTACCCAAAACTGGCAAATACTCTGGCGTCGAGGTAGTGGCAATCAGCAGCTTAAGAGCACTCCGTTAACGAGGTAACCATCAGCAGGTGTGTGAGGAGCCGAACCGGAACCAGGCGCCTCCTGTTGGTGGAAGGGAGACAAACACAAAAAACAAACACACAGACAGGAGCCTTGACAATGTCTGCAAATTTTTTATGTCAAGGATAAACATATCCAATTTATGCTGCTGAAAAAAGGAATACTTCATTTTATTTCTGTATTGTATTGAAAGTTGAAACTGTTTCTAATAACCAGTTCTAATATTGATACGTTATTGTAGCATTTAATACAATACTGTGGGAAAGCAGTATTGCAGGTGTTCTTAGAAGAACATGTTAAAGACGAAACACTTGAGAGTGGGTAAGGAAGTTGACCTTTAAACAAGACAAAAACCCTAAACTGAGTCATAATGTTTAGGTCATTGAACATTTTAAAAGATCAAGTTCAACAGTTAAATCATACTGGGTATTGGTGGAAAGACTTGTTTTATTTTTGTTTTTAAGTATACGAGAACTAGTAGAAATGTCATTTTATTGATGTGCAAAATTGGCAGAGACATCGAGCTGCAACTACGGCCAAATTGGGTTTAATGAAATAATGAGTAATGTCTAAGGTATTCCACATTTTTTCTGAATTTTTATTTGTAAATATAATTTCAAACTTTACATCTATGGACTTTTTGTGCAAGTCGTTCAATAAAATCCCATAAATATACCATAACCTTAGAGATGATGAAAGTTTGAAAGGATAGTTTTTTAATAACGTAAATTATTGTACACTTTTATTTATCATAACAATAATGAGAAATATTACAGCTAGTGTGAGTTTTTGCTTTCTTTAAAGTAAAATATTTTGGCATGTCTACTGTTTGCTCTTTACTGTCATTGAAACAGTGCTGACTTTCACACTTCTAAAGACAAACATTTGCAAACGGAGAAATCCAAATTATCAAATGGCCTCAACACCAGTAAAGAAATTGACAGTGGTTGACTTTAAACCCATTAAGTCCGACTCAGGGCTGTTAGACATAAAAGCATCCCTGCTGTGTCTGAAACACAACATTTGACACCCCAGCCTGACACGGAAAAAACAAGCTTTTGGCACCTGGTCCCCTCCTAAACAAACTGGTAGCTCTGGGGAGACATATGTGGGGCCTAATTTTGATAGAAGAAAAAATATTCCAAAACTTCACATCAAGTTTGACGTGAGGAATTCCTCCACATGGAAAGTATTAAAGTATGTTGAACCCTGGTGTTCTTATAGTCCTGAGAGCAACAGTCATTGAGTAAAGCTGCTCTCAATACCATGTGTTGCTGGCAATCATGGTGTTTTTTTTACAGACTGCTAATGTTACTGGTGTAGGTATCTGTAGAGATTAGCAATCCTGTCAGATCACAAGATTGAAAAAACTCATTAATTATAAACACATATTCTTCAAGCTGGCTTTAAGTAACAAATTACCCGTTGATTCAAGAAACTGCAACTATATGTTCACCGAATATTTTTCTAAAACTTGTTCCATCTTTACAGTTCTGCAAGTAAAAATTCCCCCCATTGCAAACATATCCTGCTTTATATAACTTTTTTTTATTAGATCCAAATATTCATTAAACATAGTGAGGAGAGCCCGCCTGCCCCCGCCCATCCTCACAACCTTCTACAGAAGCACCATAGAGAGCATTCTGACCAGCTGTCTCTCTCTGTGGTGTGGAGGCTGCAGAGCTTCTGACTGGAAGAATGTGAGGAGGGTGGTGAGGACAGCGGAAGGAATCATTGGGGCTCCTCTTCCCTCCATTAAGGACATTTCATCACAGCGCTGTGTGTCCCGAGCCCGTAATATCATCAAAGACCCCTCACACCCCCACCATGGACTGTTCTCCCTGCTGCCCTCTGGAAAGAGGTTCCGCAGCATCCGCTGCAGATCCACCAGGTTGTGCAACAGCTTCTTCCCCACTGCCATCAGACTGTTGAACCTTTGATCCACAATCCGAACTCTGCACCTATTGCACATTATCGGGCATCAAATGCTGCTGAACTTTTAACTTTTAGCCCTTTAAATTGTTCATCTCATTGTATTTTTCAATAACGCATTTTTTGCACAAATGCCATTTTGCACTGAACCACTGCAACTTGCACACTGTCTCTTATCCTCTGCACTGTTCACACTTTGACCACTGCTGCACTTTTTGTATTTTTCTATAACTCGTGCCATTTGAAATATCAATGCAACGTTCATAAGCTGTATGTAACGCAATTTCGTTCTGTATGCACCCTGTGCATACAAAATGACAAATAAAGAAGTCTAAGTCTAGTGTGCTTTCATACAAAGATCACCTTAGTGAATTGAATTACTCCCCTATTAAATTGTTAGCTTACTATTAAAAGGTTAACTTTCCAGCTTATCTTGGCATACTTCAATCTGCTAGCTGACCTACAGAATTTAAGAAATGTCTTGAACTGAACCAGTGTGTCAATCTGTTTCTTTTCACCATAAAATTTTAAAAGTGAGACCTCATGGTTTACTAGCAATTTCTAAGAATGTAAAAAAAAAATAAACTGTGGTAAAGTCTCCCGGGAGAGGGAGACCAAACAAAAGGACTTTAAAAGCAAGACAGCTCATCAAAGGCATCACAAAGGCACCGAACGACTGGAGACTTAAAATATAAAGGAGATAGGTTGAGCAAACTTAGACCAATGGGAGAATTTCAAGGCTAAAACCCCTATTGATTAGCCTGACGTAGTCCAACTCAATTCTAGTCAGAATATGAGTCTGATACTGCTCCATAGAGCTGTGATTATGGGGCGTGTTTTGAACGAACCAGGAAAAAAAATGCCTCTCCACTCAATTGGATAGACCTACAACCAATAAGAGCAACGGAGTGCGAGACGTCTGTTAAGCAACGCGTAGTTGTTGTCAACAAAAATCAAAGCGTGCAGTTGCACGCCTAGAATAAGAAGATGAGCCTTGATCGCCTTTCTCTGTTCCTCTTTTAAAATTAATATGCTGTCAATATCTTCTAGAACAGACCTAATAGCAGAATCTACACACCTCAACTCTCCAGCGGCAGCCATTGTTGTTGTCACCCAAGCGCGCTTTGGTGACGTGGTTGATTACGTTACTGTTGATCATCTGTCCATCATCGTATAAAGCCCGCCCTGACAATTTGATTGGCCCGCCAGATATTGTGCGAGCATACTCGCGCTACTATTGAGCAATGCCAGACCGAACTTCCCGACCTCAAACGTTGTGGGCGGGACTAAGTTCCGAATGGCACCCAGGCTACCTATTGATAACAACTGAACAAAATAGCATGTCTTCAATTTTTTTTATCTTTTCTATATTCTCCAAAACTTTTGAAAAGTAAATGCACTGATAAGAAAATACTTACGCTTTGGAAATTGTACATTCCATGAATTCGGTCTAAAGGCTACTTTACGATAAATAATATAATGCTGGGCCAACATCTGGTGGCTTTAGCAGGATAATCTGGGGCTTCTTCAGCCCCATTTTCACTACTGTTTTGAAACCTGTGTGAGAACAGTCCAAGCACAGAAACCGAGATAAATGTTGGGTGTAAATGGAAAGCAATTGAACTGGACTGCGCCAGACACAACCGAACTGCGTTAAATCTAGCACTAGTTCAACAGTAGGGCTCGACACGGTTCCGTTGTGGCTCAGTTCTCTGAAATCTCCTATTTACAGTCCGGATTTTCTGGCATGTCCTGCATGGCAATTCACAGATTTCTTCACCTGTCCACAACACCAACTTCTTTTTAATGATGATTTATACTTCGAAAACCTCGTAGGTGTCGCAGCAAACAAAAAACCATTCCTGCCCCTTCCCAAATTGTAACTGACCACAGACGGTGCAGCAGACAGGAGGCCGGTTTGTTTTGTTTTTATGACCAAAATTGCGGAAAACAACTCGTGAAGTTTGACCAGATAGAAGATTGAGGGGCGCAAGAACGCTGGGACCCTTTTTCCTCTTGGATCCCCGCTATTTTTCGCCATCTTGTCCCTCCGTTTTCGCACTAAACTTGCCCCACTTCCTCATCACCTCGACCGAATCTAGTGCCACAGCATATAGCACAGACCATGCTTCAATACTGAGAATAAATCGAAAATGTATGCTTCAAGCTCACTGCGTCACACTGCTGCAGGAGTATAACCAGCCTTTAGCCTGTTGGCATCAAAAGAGCGTGGTGGGACCTTGGATGATGCCGAGACCAGCACTCATTGAAATTTTGGCGGAGGACGCTATCCAGGCACATCAGTTACTGAATGTTATGGATGTCCACGTTTTTTTTTTTTTGCGTAATTCCAGCCTTGAGAGCTGTAGTATTGTTGACCACTGATAGGAGGCGAGTAACTGTGCTAGCGTGATGTGTAAATGGTTGTAAGAACCAAGCTTGGCGCGGTTAACCGATCCATGCTTGGTCCGAACTTGGCACGGATCAGTTTCAGAGGGGTAGTGTAAATGAGGCAGCTTATTCTTCCTAACCTGCAAGACACTTTACAACCAAGCCGTGAAACTTCCGGCGTAGATTTTATAGCTACATCCTCTGGGACATTTTTTACCTCATCTTAAGTACACTTTGGTTATACAAAAGAACATAATCCAAAGCACACCTCACACTATAAATGACTCAAAAAAGAGCCATTTAGAGTGGCCTAGTCAAAGTCCAGACATAAATCAGACCGAGATGCTTTAGTATGACCTTAACCAAGCACTGATCTAAATCCCTCTGATGTGTCTAAATAAAATAAAAAAAGGAAATAGCTCTTCAATAAAAACAGTTATAATTCTGAAACGATCTAATTATAATTTCAAAAATATTAAATAATTAAAAATTTATTTTTTTGTTTAAACATAACATAAGACATTTAAGGTTTGAATATAGAAAATAAAGCCCAAATGGGATAAATTTTTGAGGGGGCAATTCTTTCTTCACCACAATAGTTACAGCTCATTTTTTACAATTACATTTCATCAGAAAATGATCTGTGCATATGATCGTCCTTAAATTGTTTGAAATGATGCATGTTTGTTTAACTGATTACATTGAAACCCTCACCTTAACCAGAAGAATTTGTCATCTTTACTCAGTGCTTCACAGATCCATTTCATGTCATGTATTTGTGTAATTTCAATGATGTAACATGCTCTCTGTGGACACAAGAAACCACAAACTTGGTCACAGCTTACATTCAACAGAACCTGAAGAAGGTAATAAATCAGCTTTTTTTTTCTCAGGAAATGGGGTCTCCTGTGAACTTTCTGACCAGAAGGCCAACATGTATGTCCCACACATGTTCAAGGCCTCTTAAGACAACTCTTTTCATTTATACATTTACCCACAATCTGACCGATAAATCTGTTGGATTTTGGTCACTGTCATGCTTGCTGAAATGGGGAAAGTTTGCACAGCTCTTATGAGTCGCTACCTATTTTAGGGGGTTCCATAGTGAACCAAGCTAAGTCGAAATTGAAGCACAGTGGCTGAGCTTGTTTACTCAGCTGTGGAGCTCCCAGGGTCCAAGGGAAATAGGGGACGTGTTCAGGGCCTCATTAATCATGACTACTTCGGAGGAGATAAACAGGCAGTGCCCAGCAGGGATGCTGCACTGAGGTAGACAGAGAGGTAGAACAAGAGGAGGTGGGGTGGTTGGAAGGCCGGAAGGCGTTATGATGGGGGGAAGAGGACAGGAGACAGAGCACTTGCACACTGGGGGATACACAATAACACTCGCTCTTTGGTTCCGCATCTGCATGGCTTTGCAGGCTTGTAAATCTGCACTTCAGTCCTTTTCTGTCCGGATACGGTGCAAGTGTGTGAACCCACTGTCGTTCACTGTTTTTATGCAGTCAGACCCCTATCAGGACATTTATTTTAAAGTTATTACTCAAATTTAGTTGTTTTGGTCTATCTTTAAACCTCCAACTAGTTTGCTGGCATAAAACTCTGTTGAAACTGTTGAATTGTGCTGCAAGTTGTTAACCTGCTTGTTAAAATAAAATTACTTTGATTCGATCAGAAATTTTCTTTCATTTACTCCCTTCTCTGAGTCTAATTATGTGTATATTAATTTATAATAACCATGTTCACTACTGTTTAGAATCCACTATTAATATCTTGCATGTAATACGATTTAGAACATTGTTTTCAGAATAATTACCTCCAATCCTTATATCTTTAATGTTATATTGCATGAGATGACTTTCATCAGGTTTTGGAGTAAATTCATAAACATTCCAGCTACATTTTGGGTGAAAGTGATCCAATATTTCATTTTTGAGGTACAGTTTTATTCCAGGGACCTCCAAGCAACAATGGGTACAGCTCCTAATGGAAAACCAGCCGTGGAAGACATTCAAAACTTTAGCTTATACAAATGTTCTTGTATTACTGTTTAATTTGATTTGTTTCATTTTCTGCTTATCACTTCTAAAATTAGTAACTTTCTTGGGTTTCTTAGGTTAATTGGCTTCTCTAAATTCTCCTTAGGTGTGAGTGTCCTTTTTGTCTCTGTGTTGCCCTGTGATGGACTAGCGACCTGTCCAGGGTGTACCCCGCCTCTCGCCCGTAGACAGCTGGAGATAAGCAGTGTTGGGCACGTTACTTTGAAAAAGTAATAAGTTATAGTTGCTAGTTACTTCTCCCAAAAGGTAACTGAGTTAGTAACTGAGTTACTCCACAATAAAAGTAACTAGTTAATAGTAAAAGTAACTATTGCGTTACTTTTGCGAGTGTATGAAATTAATAACTAGGGATGTCTAATTCTGAAATCCTGTGTTTGGGTTGTTATAGATACTGCAACATGTAGCTATATCTATCTATTCCATCCATCTATCATCCATCCATCCATCCATCTATCCATATTTCTCCCTTTCTCCATATAGGCTAACATTCACGCTCTCTGTAGTTCCCCTGTGGCGCGAGCACAGGGCGGCTGTTACGCGCCTTTAGCGAGCATGCGCGTTTCCTGTCGCTTGCGCGGTGAATCGTGCCGCCGCGCTGTGCAAAGATGCAGGGGAAACCGTATCTGATGGGGAAACGCAGCTCGACGTAACACCGGTATTTCCATCTGGAAAACGCTGTTTTGCCGCTGGAGTCGTCCTCACTCTAATGGCGCGTGCACAAGTCCTATCATGAAAAAAGGTTAATTGTGCGACCTGAGTAACGTATAGTAACAGGGTGTCGGCAATTATAGTTACAGTAAGAGTAATAATTTTGATTACCCATTACTAAAAAAGCTAGCGGCGTTAGTGTTGGGAACACAGCATAGATTGGTAAGAAAGGGCTCTGGTGGAATGAGACCAAGATTTAGCCTTTTGGTCAACTTTGAACATTGCTTTGATGCAGAAGATTAAATCTACAAGGATAAATAAGAAAATGTAATGCTTGAAATCAATATGTAAGGCGGGAGTGACATGCTTTATTTCTCAAGGGTCACTATCCTGCGATTTGTAGAGATGTTTTTTGTCCAAAATAACAGAATAAAATGCTTAGTTACCTCCTCAGATGCAGTCGAGTTCTCCAGAGTCCTGCAAATGAACAGAATATTTGATTTAGGTGTATTGAAGCAGAGAGACGTCTAAAAGTTGTAAGACATTTGAAAAGAAAAACAGGAAATAAATAAATCCCACAGCCAAGCATTAAAAGGTTTTTCCATGAGGGATAAACATCTGGCGTCCGCAATGTTCTATAAATTTTATAATTTAAAATACTACCATGTGATTTCATAACTTTAGGTTTGCATTATGCCAACATTTTGAATAAGCAGACTTCCTCTTTCCACTTAAAACTGAATCAAGCACAGGAATCAATTTGATTTTCCAACTGCTTTTAAACATGCTGGGACACATGTTAAACCAATAAAAGGGTTCATCCCATAAAACTGGAGTGGAAGAGCTCAGTTTTCTAGGGAACAGCCAATGGTTTGACTTAGGTGCTGCATGGTGAAACAATGAAGCATTTACCTTTTTTTAAAAATCAAGCCAAACAATTAAATTCCCTTTACATGTATTTTTCCAGCAAAACAATGTTAGAGGTAAAACTTAGAATGCTTTATTAAAAAATATTGTAATAAAAGTATTTATTTCAGTTAATATCCATGATAATGGCTTTAATTTAACAAAAACCCCAAATCTGGTGCTCAAGAAATTAAGATACATAAGACAAGTGAAAAGAATACTTTTACCATAATACACAAACGTGGGCCTAATAAAAAAATGTATGTACTGTACCGTATAAATGCTAAAAATTTTAATTAATAACCATGATTCTGCTTTGTTGATCTGTACCACTCTTGTCTGCCACTTGGGTCAGTTTCTCAAAGGTTTAACAAACTTAGATTTAAATCCTCAATTATCTAGCCTAAGGTTGGAAACTGAGTTTTCGGTTTCATAATGGCTGCTGTGAGTTAGGCCCCGTCCACACGAAGTCAAAACGAACACGAAACGCTAATATTTTCCAGAACGTTTGTCTTAAAGACGGAGACGTAAAAAATAAATGTGATCGACCACACGAATGCATGAAAACGCTGCAAAATGTATGACAGGCCTGTAGGTGGCGCTGTGGTGCCAAAGCAAAAATAGGCGAAAACAGGCAACGAAATGTTGGGCATGCACAGTAATATTTATACAACAACCAAACCAGAAAACCGGAAAATGGCCCTGCGGGTCCATTTTCGTGGTTCAGTCAAATTGAGGTGATGAACTATGTCGTCGATATTGCTCTGCTCTTCCTGGAGATATTCCAGAAGAAGAAGATTCTGTTGTAAGCCCGACAGGGTGAGTAGCATGAGCAGCAACCGTTCAACACAGTACGGCGCCATTGTTGTTGTGATACTGTGTCGCGCATGCGTGTTTAGAGGCGACGCTATGACGCATGTGTGTAAAAAAAAAAATGCGGTTAGAGCTTAAAGATGGAGCCGCGAAAACGGCGTTTCAAAATCTTCCCACTCTGAAGGCTAAATAAAAAAATGATCGTTTACAGACCCCGAAACGCCGGCTTCGTATGGATGAGAGGCTGGTTTGGTGAAAAATTTGTGAATTTAGGCCAGGGTTTGACTTCGTGTGGACGGGGCCTTAGTTTAAATCACCTCTAAGTAGGTCCACTCAGAGCTGAGCTCATACATTACAAATATGTAAAGCCCTTATCAATGAAGTCCTGATGAGTAACCATGACAACAGGGAACAAGTAGTGCTTTCTTTTGCACCAATGGAACTAGAGATTTTAATGCAGAATTGAAAAATAAGAGATTGTGTTTAAGTCAGCAGCTGCAAAGCAGAGGAAGATGGCGTAGGAGAAGATCGCCTCTCAAGTTAATGTAGAAGTTTATATAAATTCTTCTATGGCAAACCATTTGAACATTTATTAAAAGTATTTCCCAGCATGTTTAAAAGCTGTGGAACTAACATCCCATAAAATATTTTAGAAAGATCGCACATCACACTCCAATAACACACTCAGGATGGTGGTGAGAGCATCTACATTAACAACAGTTGATAAAATAACATTCTCCCAATAACTTTTTGAGAGGCACCTTTTTTGTGAGCTAAAATGTTTACTGTCAAAATATAGACTAATGTATATCTATTGATTATGCAAACAGGAAGGCTAAAGTAGACCTGATTAGAGGCACTAAGGCTCCTGAAATAAAGTAAAGAGCAGATAGAAGACAGTTTCAGGCCTTCCACCATTATTATTCACTTGCATGTCCAGGTCTACATCCCTCCCAACTTTGACCAATCACTTGTAGCTTCAACACTTCAGATGACAACCATTTTATGGCCAATCAGCAACAATAATTATGCATCATAAATGGAGCAGGTCCTAGCAATGGCAATCCACTGCAGCTTAAACCACTTCAAGCTCAAAACCAAGAAATCAAGTGAAATCGTTTTTGACTTCTGGAAGTATGACACTGCACTCATTGTCTCCCTTCTTGTTTGACCCCTGGCTGTGCTTTGACCAGGTACAGACTCTAATGTGTTGCCATTTGCCTCCCACTGCTAGGAAAGCACTTCAGTGTAACTCCTGTCTCACTCTCTCTCTCCCACATGCTGATCTTGCTGAGACGTGAGAGGGACCTTCTTAGGATCTGCTGCTGGCTCTTGACAATCCCTGGTTGTGTACCGAACATGTATTGCTTCTAAAGGTCTGCTGGTTATCCCTTCTGTCGGACATCCCCACTTGTCCCTGCTGTTGTGGTCAAACGGTCCAACATTACTGATTGATGGCAGCATCGCTTCTTGCACATATCATCTTTTTCTCAATTAATTTCTTGCCAATTTAGGAGACAGAGATTAAAATAGGCCTTCAATTTGAGATTTCTATATATCTTTATTCTTTTTTTTTCTGAAATCATGGAACAACCTTACCATATTTTGACAAGATTTAAATGGGATTTGCTGACTAATCCTCTAAAAAATTTGGTTATTTTAGCTGCTTGTGCAAAATTTTCTTCACTGGCTTTTGCTTCCACTCAACCTTCCAGTAAACACTTTTAACGACAATCCCCCCCATTAAAAGACAGACCTTCAGAATCATAGACAGGTTTCAGATATTACAGGCTAACAATGGAACCAAACGACCCATTCATCGGTTCCCATTTGCATGTTTCCAAGCAATACAAGGCCGTGTCTATATAAAGACTAAGGCCCCGTCCACACGAAGTCAAACCCTGGCCTAAACGCACAAATTTTTCACCAAACCAGCCTCTCATCCATACGAAGCCGGCGTTTCGGGGGTCTGTAAACGATCTTTTTTTATTAAGCCTTCAGAGTGGGAAGATTTTGAAACGCCATTTTCGCGTTTCCATCTTTAAGCTCTAACCGCATTTTTTTTTTACACGCATGCGTCATAGCGTTGCCTCTAAACACGCATGTGCGACACAGTATCACAACAACAATGGCGCCGTACTGTGTTGAATAGTTGCTGCTCATGCTACTCACCCTGCTGTCGGGCTTACAACAGAATCTTCTTCTTCTGGAATATCTCCAGGAAGAACAGAGCAATATCGACGACATAGTTCATCTCCTGAATTTGACTGAACCACGAAAATGGACCCGCAGGGAAACCATGTATAAATATTAGTGCGCATGCCCAACATTTCGTTGCCTGTTTTCGCCTATTTTTGCTTTGGCACCACAGCGCCACTTACAGGCCTGGCATACATTTTGCAGCGTTTTCATGCATTCGTGTGGTTGATGACATTTATTTTACATCTCCGTCTTTACGACAAACGTTCTGGAAAATATTAGCGTTTCGTGTTCGTTTTGACTTCGTGTGGACGGGGCCTCAAACTCACTGCGAATCCAGACATTTGAATTGAGAAAGCTTCAAATCTTGGAAACCAAGTCCAGTGGATATTTTTTTAAACTTTTACGGAATAAACACTAGCAACAATTTAGCTTACCCTTCTTATAGAAAGTGTCACTATGTAAATTAGAAGCAACAATGACTTTAAAAAAAAAAAAAAAAAAGCAGATCCTTTCTATTATTTACGATAGTTAAAAAAATGTTGGTGTGGTTAATTAAATTAATTAGCTTGTCAGTCATATTCTAATTTATGTAAATATGACTTGTATTGCATGCAAGAGAAGCAAATATAATTTATGTAAAGCAAGCAGTGCTAACAAATATTTTGTTTTCTAATCTTTTACAGTCTTTTTATGAAAACATTTATTGTGAAAATCCAAAAAGCAATAAGTAGTCTCTCCTGCAAAATAAGGCTGCTATGATACAAAGCACATGGCCTGCTCCACTGATTAATGACAAGCTCTATCTTTTAAAAACTTTAACCACAAATATTGAGCTTATTTAATGCCAATGAAATTTTAACTCGACCCCACTGGCTCAAATCCCAACAGATCTCTCCATTTTTTCTATATTACTTGCATGCTTCTTGTCTTTCTCATTAGGAGAAAAGTGTATTCATTCGCTTCTGTCAATCTGTCATGAGGACGAGACACACAGTCACAGCAATGTTATTCTACACCCCCGCTCCCTGAGAGGAGGAAAAAAAAGACGACCTTGATGAAATTTTTTTAAAAAAGTTATTACCTGCTTCTGCTTTCCTCGGCCTGCCCTCTGTTCTCCTGACAAGCTCTTTTTATCAGAGCAGGCAAGATTTCACTCATCTCCTGCTCAATGTTTCAACATAGAGAGAGAAAAAATATCAGTATTGGGGGGGGGTACAGGACCAATCAGTTTCTGAGAGCTGACAAATGCAATAAGCTGGAGGTGTATTTCAGAGCTCTCTCAAAATGGGTTTTAAGATATTATATTACTATGTTTATATAGGTCTATGTCTTAGTTATAGTCTGTGTGCACGTGTGTGTGTTTACATGCGCCTGTGTGCACATGTCCTTGTGCGGAACGCTAATTACTCATGATAGGCTCGGAAAAGTGACATCATTACCAGATTGGGTGGATTTCCTTCAAAGGTCAAATGAGTGGGCATGACTGCCGCGCTTCTCCCAGACATAGAGAATAAAAGCAGAAGTTTGGAGGTAAACTATAGTGTTTGGGTTCCGATATCTTTAGAGTGGTGAAAGTTTCTGAGAAAGATGCTTATTTTATAATTATAGTGCTTTAGTTAGATGTAATTTCATATATTTAGACTTAGCCAAAAATACAAAAGGGTTTCTAAAGCATACTGAAAAGGAAGTTGTGAAAAAAGGAGACATCACTTATTTATTGATAATATTTTAGCATAATTATCAATTTATTAATTATTTAGACATAGACATAGACAGTACTTTATTGATCCCTTGGAAAGACTCCCTCCGGAAATTAAGGTTACCAGCAGCTTACAGGGCAAAAACAGTATTAAGTTAAATTAAGTTAAAATTAAGCAACAAAAAAGTATTAAGTTAAATTAAATTAAAATTAAGCAAAATACAAATATTATTCACATGAACAGGCTCATAATTCTAAATTTGATACTGTAGGGTCTAAATCCACTTGTTATAAAAACATTTGTTTTGTCAAATCAACATTATTTTGTTAAATATTTCCCTTCTGTTTTTAAAGAGTAAGGCACATCAAGCTCTTTATTTCTAGAAATGACATTGCTAAAACTTCATATATCTATATTCATAAACTTTCTTAGCTCAAAAATAAAAGAAAACCAAAAAATATATATATTTTGTACTGAAAGTGTTACATTAAAACAAAGGTTAACATTCAAGATCACCAGGTGCTGTTTTAATGCTTAGCAATCAGCTTTTGAAACAAAGTTTAATTTTTTTCTGTTTCAAGCTGCCAAAACTAAGGTCCTTACTGTGAAAATGAAATATTTTCCAGTTGTTTAAGGAGTGGCCTTTTTTATGAAATGCATACAATTTTTAATCTTCTAAAACATAAGATCAGTGCAAAAAATGTCTGCAGCTCAATAGAAAATCTTTAGAATTGACCTAACAATAATAATCGTTAAGCCACTTTATAGACGGATTAGAGTAAATGTCCTGTTTGTTCCCTTAGTTTTTGCATTATTAATACATGTGGATGACAGTAGTTTTCCTAATAAAATAGATGCTCAGCTATTTTTCAACAAGAATAATTTGTTGTATTCTATTACATTCATATTTTTTATAATTTTCCTGGAAATATTGGAAGTCTAAATCTTTTTTTTTTCTGTCACTTAATAGTAGCCACTCTGATTCAATAAAATGTATAGGAAAACCGCATTGAAGTTGTGATTCAAAAGAAAAAACATATTTTCTTTAGTCCAACTGTTTTTAATATTCTTTTTTGTTTCTGCATTTTTTATTTTATTTATTTATTTATTTATTTTTTCCTACTTGCTTTGATTCTGTTTTATCTTCCTGTATTTTAATCATGTAAAGCACTTTGCATTGTCTTTGTACCGAATTGTGCTATACAAATAAATTTGCCTTGCCTTACCTTACATCAGCACAGATTAATAAGTAAATGAAGTAGAACAATGCTCCTTTTAATTATTAATTTGTTTCTAATCCAATCAATATGCTTATTACAGATGTCAACAACAAATTATATATATAGACCAAGTGCAAGCACCTGCATCCAAATTCAAGTAGGTATTTAATGGAAAGTAAGATGTTATTTGTTATAGAAAAGTAGAGTACAGATAACATAATGAGAACCAAGAAACTGCAGAAGGTTCGAGGACAAAGATGAACAGAAATTTTAAAAAGGATTATGCAGTAAAAAATATCCTTAACCGTAACAACCTCATAGATGAAAATCTAAACTGCTGGTACAAGTTTAAATATATCAAGATCATCATTAGCCTAATCTGGCCTGTCGAAGAAAGAAAAAAAAAATAAAGGTTAGCTTGTTAACTCTGGATAAGTGGCAGAGATTCGCAGTTTAGATAACAGAATCTGTTGTAGATAAAATAGCATTAAATTCCACAACAAAACTACATTAAGCTGTGTGACTGTAACATGATAACAAGTAGAAAAGGATCAAATGCTTTATGTATTTTGTAAGACAGTAGATGGATATGTGGAAATATGTCTGTAAATACTGCTATTACTTCTTGGTAGAGTGTATCATAAATTATAAAGAAGGACCTAGGAGATGAAAATGAAGCAAAGCAGTGACATCAAGTCATAAGAACAGCATGATTTTGCTGCTACTACTCTTTAAACATGCTAAGTTGTTCTTTATGCAGGACATTCAATTGTTTTTATCTGTGTGTATTATTTCAACGAGTTCTAATTAAATGTAATATATATTTCCTATAATGACTTACAATGTTATAATTCCCAATGTTCCAATGTAATTTCAAATGCGTGTATATTTTCTCTTTTCCCAGATGTATTATACATTCAAGCACGGAAATTAGCATTTTATTGCATAAAAGGTAACACTATAGAAGCCCAAAGTTATGAAGAGACTACATTATGTTTTGACCAACACACTTTACTAAAGATAATAACATATACTATAGAGCGCACCTACTGAAACTTTTGATTTTTTTTTTTTTTTTTTGTCAAATGCTGCAAAATAACAAATCTATAACATTTATATTTTCTGTGGTCCCTGGGCTTCTTTACAGCAGCTTGCTGATGCCACCTTGTGTTTATACATGTAATAGTTTTTTTGTTTCTTCTTGCTTGTTAATATAGACATTTTATTTCCTTTATTTAACCAGATTTTTAAAAACCATAGATCTAGAGCTAATTCGCAAGGAGGAGCTGGGTTTAAAATCTGAAGCACGCTTAAAAATATTGAGACAGTCTAACATATTTAAAAGACAATAGAAAATATTCAAACAATTTCATGCAGCAGAAGCCTGCATGAAATCATCCGCAGGATGCTTGTTTCCCTTAGGCGTGTGTAAAAAAGGCTATTTCCTCCTCACAGTCACTACGTTTTCTGGGTAAAGGTCAGATAGATACAAGAATAATGAGCGAGATCATTATTTGGTAATATTTGTAAAATCCCAAACTTCACATACATAAAGCTGTGGGCCAAAAAAATGGGACCTTTGGAGTCGACTGAATGAATTCATTAATTAATGAAAATGACTTTATTACAGTAAATAATTACAAACTGAACCTATATAAACATTGTGTATAATTATCATTACTTATATGTATAATTTGGTGCTTAGGTCTGAAAAAGGGAATGAAAAATTACAATTATTGGCAAGGATATTTATTTAACATCAACAGTTCTTCTAATTCTATATCTTATGAGTTCTTAGTACGCCAAAAGTGAATTATTAAGTTAGCAAATAAATCAGTTATGTCCATACAAGTACACATTCACACCTGCCTACACAGCTCTTAATTCATACAATTGTTATCCACATGATCAAACCATTGCAAAAATACAAGAGTTTCCCAAAAACATTTAACCAAAACCATTAGGTGTTAGAAGCAAACCTTAAAATTGCAAATAAAAGTTGTCTGAACTTCTGAGTTTGTGGAAAATGTATCCCAAATTAAAAGTAAACAATAAATCTAACTGACTTAAATAAGGATGAGTTTAGCTTGATTTGATATTTCTTAAGAAAGTTGGTGTCTTTTCATGCAGTATTAGTACATATTTGCTTTTAATTGTACATGTGACCAAAACAATATCAATGCAAATGTTCTTAACAGGTTTCAAATGGATATAAAAACTGCAAACTAAGTAAGTCTCTGGAATATTCTTGTATAAATAATTTACTTCTTGTCTTTACAGAACCGCTGGAGTTCATTTAAACTGGGTGGTTTCTTGGCCATGACCTGGCTTTAAAGCATTAGCTATAAATCTTCATTAGTGTTGAGGCTGGAGCCAATCCAGCATCATGTTAGCCTGCTTTCTTTGTTCCAAAACCAGCTGTTATTTGTATATATATATATATATATATATATATATATATATATATATATATATATATATATATATACAATTTAGCTTAATCCCAGATCTGAAGTTTAGATAATTTAAGTGGCCTTTGGTTAAAAAAAAAATAATTTAAAATTAAATACATAATAGTAATAATATCCATGTTTTTCATTGCATGTACTTTTATGAATTTAAAATGATAATCGCAAGTATATATATATATATATATGCAGAGAGTGAATTTCCCCAATGTGGGACAATAAAGGGATTTAGACACAAAATCATCTTACTGTTCCTTATACTTTTTAGTAGTTTTGTTTTTAGCTGCATTTTTCTGCTTTTATTTGTTTGCTTTTAACTTGAAGTCAGTTTTCATACTTTTCCATTAAACCAGACATGCCTTCTATCTGGGAACAAAACATTATTCGATCAAAAAATATAATTTTTCTGATCCTCTACTTACCTCAGCTAATGTCAGGCATATATCTGAACACTAGGGGGCGTCAGTGAACCACTTCACTGTTAAAAGGGGCCCACTTGTCTTAATACAACAAAACAAACTGTTGAAGCATTCAAAGAGCAACAAAAAATGTAAATTTGTGAATTCATATTACTATGAGAAAAAATCTCATATATATTTTTAGCTCTAGATATGTTACCAATAAATACAAGTGGGACTTAACACTCCAAAACAGAATGTTAAATCTTTTTTTGTGAAGAACAAGAGTTTCTTCCAAATGTGTTTCATTTTTGACATCTACAGTATCCCCAAAGTAGGTGAAAAAACATGTTTCTCTCTATGTTTCTCTCTATTTATTTCCTAACACTAACTCACAATTCAATCGAAATTCACACACACACACA